TTGAATGGCCAGTAACAGGTGATTATTCTGGATATATACTAGCTCAATGTCTGCCACATATTGGAGAATGTTTACGATTTTCACCATCAGAGATATTAAAAAATACAACCACTATAAACAAGCCAACACCTTTGGTTTCTTCTCATTCAGTACCTGACAATTCATGGAATGTTTCATTGTATCATGCTCAAGGTAAAAATAAATAAATATATATATAATGAAAATATGAATTACATTATATTTATATTATTAATTTGCAATTTATATACATACATATAGCCAGACAAATAAAAGAAGATGAATCAAATAAATCAAATAATAATACTCAGTCATTAGGTATATCCAAAAAAATTATATTGCTGCACATTCTCTGAATGGGATTATATCAACAACATGATGCCTGCACTTGAGAAGCATTTAAAAAGAAAAATATCTGTTTTGGATTTAAATTGGCATCAATTTTTTATTGGATGGAAAGAACAGTCAACAACTGTTATTGAATTAAATTCACACCTCACCTCTATATATCCACCAAATTTTGAAATTACTGATACTATATTGAATGCATGGATAAGAATGTTGAAAAGCATTGAATGTACTAATGTAACCCCCTATAAAAAAATCATATCAAATGTAAGAATTTTAATTATATCAATAATTTTTTTGTTATCATATATAATTGATAACTATTAACTTTCTATTAACAATCAAAACAATAGCTTGAATTCTGGACATATGTAGAGGATGCATCAAATGATCATGCTTTGATGCTTTATTTATATAAAAATAACCTTCTAAGTGGTGTTATATACAATAAACCAATTGTGGAATTATCTGAAAAGAACCACAAACTCCAAAATAAAGTTGATAAATTTTGGAATTGTTTTAATATTTCAATTCAAATGAACAATCATGGATTGGATAATAAACAAAGAATATTATCATTAATTGCTGATCATTTTACATATCATGAATTACAAGATAATTTGAAGGTAATTTTTATTTAAAAATTCATTTTACACAATGATCAAATTTTCATGAAAATTTTTTCTATATAGATTTCAAATAATTTAGTAAATGCAGCAAAAATGTATTCACGAATTAATGGACCTGGATGTATTGCTGCAAGAAAACCTACAATTACTCAAATAGAATTTCAGAAATAAAAAATCAGGAATTTGAAAATTTTTTCTTAGATAAAGACAATGTCACTATGAGCTCATATAAAATTGATTCCAAGACAAACCTTCCAATCCTTTATTTGAATGATGACAAGGAAGGACTATGGAAAAAATTTGAGGCTACTTATCCTGGTGGAATAAAACATGCATCATTCATGGCCCACTTAACAAATGGTCCATATGTTTACAGAAATGATCTTGGGGGTTTATGTAGTATTTGCAATGAATATTTCTATGAAGTATTCAATACACTTACTAGCATTATTCAATTAAATGCTGTGATAATGAAGAAAAGGTAATTTATATCTTCATTTACTAAATTATAAATATTATAAATAATAAAAAATAATAAATTTAAACATTCTGTTTTTGGAATAAATTAATTACAGATATAGAAAAACTGAAAATTCATCTGAGAAGAGGTTTTGAAGAAGAGTTTTCTATGAATGCTGATGGTACAACAACACATGTTGATACAATAAATCATTGCATGCTTTATGCATTTGGTGAATGTGATGAGCAGCACAATGAATGTTGTATTACATGTGATAAATTATTTATAGTTATACAAAATTTTATCAGCAAGTTTAAAGAACAGAAATCAACAATTGAAGAATGCTGTGACAAATTGTACTATTTTTTGGCTCATCAAGCAAGAAAGGTATATTTAAATAGTCAATTTAAATCTAGGTTAGCAAATTTGAATAATAATGGGGCAATCATAATTTGTGATTATAATGTGTGCATTTTACCAAAAAGTGCAAGAGAAACTAAAGAACAATTTTTTGGGAAACATGGTTGGACATTACACACAATTTTGGTTTTCACAAAATCTGATACTAACCAGTTCAATGTTCAAGCATTTGACCATTGGAGTACTGATACCAAGCAAGATGCTTGGTTTACAATTTCTTCTTTTGATGCTGTTTTTGAAACTTTAGATCCACATCCACAATGGATTGAAGTATTTTCAGACAATGGTGCTCATTACCATAACTCAGAATTAACAACCATAATTTCCAACTGGCACCAATGGTATAATATTGAAGTTCGTGGTTGGTATTTTTTTGAACCTGGGGAGGCAAAATCAACTGTTGATTCCCATCATGCACAGGTAAATTTTTATAAAAATTCTATTACATACAAAATGTTTTTATATTTATTAATCAGGAAATTTTCCTGTATAGATCTCTCATGCCATCAAGAGATATATACATGTTGGAAATAATTTGGATGAAGGGGAAAAAATAGGAACAGCAATATCTTGTTTAAATGGAACTTTTGTTGCACACATAGAACCAGCACATGAGGACAATAAGGTAAAAACCATTGATGGTATTACTAATTTATTTTACTTTGAATGGCCAGTAACAGGTGATTATTCTAGATATATACAAGCTCAATGTCTGCCACATATTGGAGAATGTTTACAATTTTCACCATCAGAGATATTAAAAAATACAACCACTATAAACAAGCCAACACCTTTGGTTTCTTCTCATTCAGTACCTGACAATTCATGGAATGTTTCATTGTCTCATGCTCAAGGTAAAAATAAATAGATATATATAATGAAAATATGAATTACATTATATTTATATTATTAATTTGCAATTTATATACATACATAAGCCAGACAAATAAAAGAAGATGAATCAAATAAATCAAATAATAATACTCAGTCATTAGGTATATCCAAAAAAAATTATATTGCTATTATTGCTATTGATTATTTAAATTTTTGTTTCTATGGTTTTTAATATAGATATTGAAGAATCATTTGAATTAAAAAAGGGATGGGCATTAAAAAGCAAACAAAATATGGAATAAGAGGAAAAGGAAAGCATATGAAAAAGAAAGTGAAATTTTACCTTGAAGGATATTTCTTAGCAGGTAACATTAATATAACTGATCCAATGACAGCAAAGGAAATGATAAGCCAACTTCAAATTTTAGCTGATGAAGGTGAAATTCAAGTTGAGGATATCCCTGAAGTGCCAACAGTTGCAAATTGGATTACACAGTATGCATGTAACAATTTAACGCGATATAATTACTTTCGTGGATGTGTAACATTCAATTTAATAACGTGACACATCATTATTCGCGTTGTTTTAATTACATTATTTATCTTATTACTATTTATACCTATGTCCAATAATCATCCGGATAGATTGATAAGTTTATTAAGTTTATATTTTATTTATATTATTATTTATATTATGTTTATATTATTATTTATATTAGTTTATATTTTATTTATATTATTATTTATATTATCAATCTTATGTATTCTTATAAAAAGGACATGAATTTAAGTGAATAAAAGATAACTTTGTAATTTTACAATAATTAAATTACTTATTTCGCTTTTAAACATTGAACATTTACAATGCAGCAAATATGAAAAAACTATCAGTACAAACAATAATCATGAACAAAGACAGTGAAGTGGTAAGTGATAACAATGAATTTGATGTACATGAAAAAGGTAAAAAAACTATTTTTGATAACTCTAATAGTGATTATGAACATTTGACAAAACGTCAAAAAAAAAAAAAATAAATAAAATTTCATACTTTGTACTGGAGTTGCCTTTCTAAATTCCTGAGAAAGTTCAAAAGGCAACTCTATTTTGTGCTATTTACAATGCACCAATTTTTATAATAAAAATAATTTTTTTTTTCATCCTCGGGTTTATTAAATACATTTGGATATTTCATTATTGTGTATTATTTATAAAAACAAGAGAGAGTGTATGTATAAGAACCATTATTCAAGTTGGTATAATTTACAGTATTTGAATTTGCTATATTTCTGACACCCAAATCTCTATGTCCAATATATAAAAGTCTTTGAGGAACACTATAAATTCTTTTGGTTTTTTAATATTAATATAATATGGGATTTATTCTATCCATATATGGAAAAGATGATATTTGTAATACAAAAATATAATAATTTATTGTTTGTTAAACATTGTCCATTAGCAAATTTTTGACATTTTTGCCCCGTTGATCCCATCCAAAATTCACTCATTTATTCACGGATCGGCAATTAATGATATTTTTAACTATTTGTGTCACATTTTGATCATATCATGTGTAACTGGTTTGAATGGTTTGAATGGTTCCAAAAACCAAACCAAAGAAAAAACAGGAGTTGGTTTCAAAACTGAGTTCAAACCGTTTATTAGCAAAACCAACCCATCCCTAAGCATGGCACAGAAAGTTGTGGGACTAAGTGACTTGCACTATACTAAAAATTTTTTACATGTATAATTCCCAACCCTGGAAATATGAATATAAGTGATTTTCAGTGTAACATTGCACAATATATGGTGCAAACATTATTATTATGCAAATAGGGATATTAATAATGATTTATTATATTATGCAAATAGGGATATTAATAATGATTTGTTATATTATATGTAATTAATTTGATAAAAAAAATTAAAATTCAAAAGCTGCTTGATGCAAAAAAATAATAAATAACAAGTAATTAGCAAAAACCATATAAATAGAAATAAGATTTAATATTTATTATCATTACCACTTTGCTTACCATGAACTTCTTTTGGAAGTTGTCTGAAAAATTCATTAAAATATTTTATATGAGATTTCAAAGATGTTTTTGAATAAAAATCTTTTGAAAATTCAATAAAAGGAAAAAAAATAAATTAATATGTCATATATTATTTCTTTATAATTTCTAATTTAATTACCTTTTGTAACTGGATGTATAGCATGTGCTCTTTCCAATTCATCAATCAACAGTCTAACTGTTGGTGAGCTTAATGGATCAAAATCATCACAAGTTTCTGGTAAAATTGGAACACATACTCTACCTAATAAAATGAAATATTTATATCATCTTAATTAATTAGTAATGGTAATAATAATGATGATGATGATAAATTATCTATCTTACCTGTATCAGGATGTATACAAAATGGACTTTTCAATAAGTGATTAATTGTTGTTGATACTGCTCTATCAAGCCTTGGATATGCATATTGAAGAATGATTTCATTTTTACACATTGGTAAATTTTTTTTATTTAATTCATCTGTTATATTTTTCCACCTATCTGAAGATGTTTGTGATGGGTTTTCCAACCAATGTTTTGTTAAAGTGTTTTTTATTTCTATATTTAACAAAAAAATTTTAATATCAAGTATTTTCTTTTTCTTTTCATCCTCAATGGTTGCTAATTAATATATTTACCTTCATTAGGAATACATCCTAATACTTTATTCCAACAATTTTCATCTTTCAAAACATCTTGATCCTTCAATATTAAGTCATCAAAATATTGGTTTATTATACTTAAAGATCGACTAATTATTTGTTGTTCATAAAAAAATTACATATGAATATTATGTATATCTTCATCTATATTAAATTATAGTAAAATACCTTATGGAAGGATGCAAGTGCCCACGAAGGTCAACTCTTTTCTGTGCTTGTGCACCACCCTATACAGTATATGCAAACATATTGATTTATAATTGACAAAAAAGTTTTGTACTCTCATGCTATATAACAAACCTCAATAACTTCCAAGTATGATACAATAGCCTTTCTCTCACTGTCATTTAATTCTCTGGCAATTTCATCACAAACCCAACAATGAACACCACGTCTACCTGAATATACCCACAATAAATGTTTAAATCCAAAATCATCTAAATAACAAAATATGAAAATTACAGTTGCGTGAATTATGTGTGCTATGAATAAAACAAGAAGCTCTTAATTATATAATCATGTAGTAATTGTTTGATTGATTAACCTCTTAATGCAACATCAATGATCTTGATTGCAATTGTCATAAATTTCCAAAATTTTAAGCAAACGTTGCCACCACTTTAATTAAAATTAATTAATATTTAAATAAATATATATATATATGTATATAAAATATATATGTGCACATGTATACCTGCAACATGTTCTAATCTCATCATAATCTGTCATATCAATATCAAATACCAATTCCTTTTCAACTGGCTTAAATTCTGATGGTTTAAGGGATCTCTTATCTGCTGGCTTTATTTTAAAATGATCAATAGTTAATCAATTGATCCCCTCTCACCTCTTCCAATGATCAATCAAAATATTATTTACCCTCGCAGTGTATATTGGTCCAATGTCTATTTTTATAGGACATTTATCTAGAATATCCTTTTTTAATTCCTCAACACTATTATATGAATTATATCTTAAATATGCACCTCCATTTAATGTAAAACTAAACTCCCGATTATAAAATGATTTCCCAACATCTAAAAAAATATTAATAATAATAAAATAATAATCATCATAAACCATTATTTATAACTAAAATTGATACCTGTTCCATAATTTAACCAATTAAAAATTTGGTTGTATGGAAACAACCAATGATAATATATTCTTAATTCATCATCAGGAGAGTAATTAATGCTATTTTTTAAAATATTAGAAACCAAAATGATCAATAATTGACATTTTTTGTTTTCAAAATTACCTTCCCTTCTAAAAATACTCACTTTGTCATTCTCAGTTCAGTTTTAAAAAAATTTTATCAATTCTCTTTGTATCACATTACGCGATTTTTTAATTGGACAAATAAACATTTTGGAGGACATTCATATTTGTGTACAAGGGGGTAAGCAACAAGTATCACAAAAATATTGAACATTTATTGGTTAATTATTTCTTAATAGTAATAATATAATTATATTAATATACTGTATAATGTAATGTTTAAATATTCATTGTATTGAAATTATATATTGCAAGCCTATGTTTTTGATCCAAATTGTTATCAAATGTTACATTAGGATATCATCATCAATTGATGGATTATCATTTGAATTTTTCTCATTTTCATTCCCATTTTCATCTAATATGGATGTATTTTCTATATTTTCCAATCATTGTATACACAAATTACCTAAATTTTTAATTCCATTAATAAAATAATCTAAACAATACTGACCACATATCAAAATGTTTGAATCACAATCCTCTTCAATATTGCAATCCTCATAATCACACTTAATATTAGAATCTTGTGGATTTGATGTATGATATCCCTAAGGTAATGTACAGAACTGAACTTCCAAATTAAATATTAGTAAGGTATATGTTTTCTTTTTGCCCTTTTTGTAATAGACTCCATTTCTTGCTTTAAGCTATCTATATTGTTTTTTAAATTATCTATTTCATTTTGTAAATCTACTATTTCTGAAGAAGATATATTAGTATTGTGAGATCAAAATCTGCATCTCACACAAATCTCTTGGATTTGGTTAAACTAATATTTATTTCATTTCTCTGGCAGTATCCAATTATTTAATTTATAATTATACTTTCTTTCTTCTATAGCACCCAGGCTATTTATCTTTTACAGGGCAAGTTTAACTTCTCTTCCAGTAACATTTTCTCAGCAGTTCTTTGTTATCTGCCCGAGCTGGCATGTCTCAATGATATTTATAATATCTGAAGTATCCACCATGATACTTTCTACACTGATTATTATATTTATGGCTCAGTCTCTTATAAGGTTGTGGGCGAAACCTCCTTAGTAATTGCTGAAACCACAGCAAAACTATATTAAATCTTATCAAAAATCCTGT